TGGTGAAGGTGGAATCGAAGCTGGTGAAGGTGGAATCGAAGCTGGTGAAGGTGGAATCGCAGCTGGTGAAGGTGGAATCGAAGCTGGTGAAGGTGGAATCGAACCTGGTGAAGGTGGAATCGAAGCTGGTGAAGGTGGAATCACAGCTGGTGAAGGTGGAATCGAACCTGGTGAAGGTGGAATCGAAGCTGGTGAAGGTGGAATCACAGCTGGTGAAGGTGGAATCGCAGCCGGTGAAGGTGGAATCATAGCTGGTGGAGGTGGAATCGCAGCTGGTGGAGGTGGAATCATAGCTGGTGGAGGTGGAATCGGAGCTGGTGGAGGTGGAATCATAGCTGGTGGAGGTGGAATCGCAGCTAGTGGAGGTGGAATCATAGCTGGTGGAGGTGGAGTCAGAGCCGGTGGAGGTGGAATCGGAGCTGGTGGAGGTGGAATCATAGCTGGTGGAGGTGGAATCGGAGCCGGTGGAGGTGGAATCATAGCTGGTGGAGGTGGAATCGCAGCTGGTGGAGGTGGAATCATAGCTGGTGGAGGTGGAATCGGAGCTGGTGGAGGTGGAATCGGAGCTATCGGGATATTTTAAAAAACACCGTTCATCCTGCAATTTGTTCCTACGAAAAACACATCCATAGTAGGAAACGATCAAATTGACATTGTTTTGAACTTATAAGAAAGGCAATAAGTTCTTGGGTCAATCTACACATCTTTTGGTTCTTTTCAAGTCTCGAAATGTCTTCGAGTAGATTCCCAAACGCTTAAACTATTCCATCTAAAACTCCATTTTCCAAATGAAAAGATCGGCTACTTTTGAAAGCGGCGATGACCGATAGATTGTCTACTTAATCCCCCAAAGAATCAAAATTCTAGTACGCTGGTTACAATAATATAATGCTAAGAAATAGGAATAATAACTAGAAAAAGAAAAATGTAACGAAAACGGGTATAAAATTTGTTCATTTCCACCTTGAAAATCTGTTTCAAGTTTCAGGTAAACTTATTCAACCCACTAAAGTTCCAATACACGGTTTCTATTATTAGCAATAAAATACTTTTTCAAATTTTTCGAATTTTTCGAAAAAATTTAAGTTACAGAAGAAGATGAACTTCCAGTTCGAAACTTAATTTTTGTAGCTGTTTGCCGCGCCTCTGGCGCTTCAAACCTTACATATTATTTTAATACAATTTAAAAGGGATGAATGGTGAGAAATCTTGAATTGTCTGATTTCAGTTACAGGAATTGAAAAATATATTTATTGAATTTCACTCAGATTTCTTCAAAACATCACGCTCGTTTCTAGATCTTGCTCCTGATCCAGTTCATCCTTCATTTTATACTCCTGGCAACGTGCTGCTAGGACACAGGCCCCAGGCCCCAGGCCCCAGGCCCCAGGCGATGGTTGATGATGTCCAACGAAATACCACCCGAGGAATCGATCTAGGACGTCCGGTTGCTGCTGAACCAGATCTTCCCAAGAAAATTCTCTCTGGAAGTGTCACTTCTGCTGTTCAAGACGCGTTTAATCAAAATGAAATGACCAAAACCATAGTAGCAAGTTGCGCTCAAATCGATGGGAAGGAAACGAGTGAAGAATGCCGGTGGAAAGTGAGTTGAATACTTGATTTTTCGGTTTCAATATACTGTATTTTTTCAGTGTCATGTATCAAATCAGTGACTTCAGCGATGCTAAATTGGTCGAACAATTTGGAGAGGCAATTGCGGATTTTATGGTCCAGATGCAGAAGGATTTGAGTGAAGGAAAAGTTCCGAAAGCCACTATTGTGCTTAATTGAAATTTTCAAATAGTGTCAAGTTCTAATTTATTTTTTCAGTTTGTATAAGATAAATGAACATCAAACAGAGGTTACAATAACACAATAACACAATGACATGAAACAGGAGGAACAACTAGAAAAATGTAAAGTAGTGGGACATGAAACTCGTTCATGCTCATCTCAAAGAGTTGAACTCACGGACCCAACGCTGAAGGTCCCGCGCCTCTACCAGCTGAGCTACGGTGGTGCAGGCTGAGGCGGATGAACGATTGACTGTGTGAGCAATAAACACTGTAAACCATCACGTCAGAAGGCATAGCGCAACTCCGAAAAAATTCTGAAAAATCTTCTGTCTCACCTTCATTAAAATTCCGATTTAAAAACCTGTTTCAGGTTTTTGGTATATTTTTTGTAGTCCACTGCCAGAGACAGTGACACAATTGGTTCGACGTCGAAGACAAGAGAGAAAACGATGAAGAGTTCAACGAATGTGAGGAATTAGAAACTGTGCACCTAAATGTCAATAGAAAGAACATTGACTTATTACTAAGTCTTTATTAAATATAATTATAGAGAAAAGGTTAGCGAAAGATGACTTAAGGTCATCTCAAAGATAATAGAGAATTAATGTGACATGTTTGAGCAGGTGACTTGAACTTGGCGCCGAAAAAGCGTGTTGTTGGTGGAGTGTACGCACGAGACGCTTCAAACTGGTGACAATGGCGGGAGTTTGAATGCAGGCCGTTGGGGTGTAAAAGATCTGAAGAAACCTGAAAGAACATTAGAGAGGATTTTCCTCATTTGAGATTAAAGACTCGTGGAATATGTGATATTCCACGACAATATTTATTCAACTTATTAGGATTTCACTGCATTTGAGGACTTGTTCTCAGCATTAGCAATAGTTTTGCTAATTTTTTTAACGTTTCGGCGGAAATAAAGTTAGTTTGAAATTACAGAAAAAAAGTGCATTTTTGGTTTGGAAATGAAAATATTTCTACTTTTCCCAGGTTGTCGTTTGTGAGAAATGAACTTTCATGCTACAGTAAACAGCTTGAATATACGGATGCTGAAAAGTAGAAATTTCTGGAATAATTCATTAAAGAATCATCCATTTTGAAAGCGGAAAGAAGAGTTTCAAAAGTTCAAAACTTCCATCATTAATAAGATTTTCAGACCTCTATGAAAAAATTGTCTATTGTTTACAGGGAAGAAGGCATACATCCTATAGAGGTTGAAAATTGAAGTCTGGGATATTCTAAGTTTTTAATGCTAGAAGCAGCACAGATTTTCTGAAATATTTTGCAGTTTCAAACTTTCTACTTTTAAATGTTTTTTTCCCGGTACATTTTGATATAACCAGTGTGGTTGGGGGAAAAAAGTTTTTGCAGCTCTTCGAGCCGTATATCTCAATACCGGGAATCAAATCGTTTTGGCCCTTTTCTTCTTTAATTTCACTTTTTTTGAGTTTCAGAACCACAATTTCAGATGCGAAATTTTCCATACAGTGTTGCCTTACAAATAAAAACTAAAGATGAATTGTCATCACTTGTAAATTAGCGTTTTCTCCAGTTCTTATCGATTTTCGCTGACTCGTCCTTATTTTTTCAAGATTGAGAATTTTTTCGAAGTTCTAGTTTTTTTTCAGTTTCAAAATCTCAATTTCAGGCGTCCCATGTTTTATTAATCATTATCGTCGAACATTCAAACCCATCGCTTACAATCAAGGCTGTGCAAAATGGCGGCTGGCCGCGGCTCGATTTTTGAGGCCGAGGCCGGCCGCGGCTTTTATAGGAAAGCCGTGAAAAGCCGCGGCTATTCTTATAAAAACGCGTGAATTAAAAATCATTTAGTTTTTGAAGAATTTTTTTTTCCTATTTTTCAAAAAAAAAATCTACGTTTTTCAAGAAACCGGAGGATGCCCAGCTGGACCACTAATTACTTTAACAGACCGTGTAAAGCCTCACGGCCGGACTCGGCTAGCCGCGGCCGGCCGTGGAACAGCCTTCCTTACAATAAAAACATCCACTTGTGATTGATGCCTTCTGGACCTTCACTATAAGCAACAAAACTCTCCACTTTTTCAGAACGTTTAGAAATTACAATAAAGGAATTTCAAGTTATGAAGTAAATGAAGTATTTTCTACTGTTTCCAGGTTGTCGTTTGTGAGAAATGAACTTTCATGCAATAGTACAATGAAGTCATTTACAATAAAACATAGTTGCAAAAGGCCGGGCCGGGCCGGCCCGCCTACCACTGTTGAAAATTTTCCAATGAAAATTGAATAATTTTTTTTGAATGAAAAAGAAATAAGGTTAAATTTTTTAACAAAATTAACAAAGTAGAAAGTAGTCAGAAATAGGTCGTTTTTCTATATATTTTTGTAAAACTATCAAAAATTTCGGAAAAAATTCAAAAAAAAATCAGCGTCTGTACAGACCCCGGGCCGGCTCGAGATTTTGCAACTATGCAATAAAGACATTTTGAAGCCAATTCATACAAATTCATCCATTTTTGGAAAGTTTCTAAAGTTATAAAAATTTAGGAATTTCCATCATTTATGAAATTTCCAGACCTCTATTAAAAATCGTTTGCTTATTACAGGAAAGAAGGTGTACATTCAATTAATCATTAAAAATTGAAGTCTGGAACTTATTTTTTTCTAAAATTTCAAGACTGGAAATGATCCAGACTTTTATTTGGAATCATTATTTTTCAGTTTCAAAACATCAACTTCAAAGTTTGATTTATCTGGCATCCGATATTTTTGGTTTCTCCGACGAAAAAACATTTCTATTCAAGCCGTTTATCTCGATACCTGGGGTCAACATTTTTTTGGACCTTTCTTTCTTCTATTTCATTTTTTCAGGTTCAAAATCTCAATTTCAAATGCCAAATTTTTCCTGAAGCATTAGGTCCCATTCAAGATTCTAAAAAATTTTCCCTCCAAATAATTTTTACTACCCAAAAATTGGCTACCTTTTTCCACTCGTTCTCATTTCCGCTGACTCATCCATCCTCCCATTCTGACGCCAAGAGCAACCCCATTATTTTTGATTTTGTTGACCCTGTTCCTCCGTTTTTTCCTTAATTTTCCTCCCCTGCTCTCCACACTATTTTTCATCATTCTATTCCCTCCAATAACTGATAAAAATACTCCTTCTCTTCTTCTGATAAAAACCTGTCGTCATCATCCAGTTATCAACAATTTTTCTATATTACACAACGAGCAGAGAGCAGTGTCTCTGTTTGTCCCTCTTTTAACTAGCACAATAATAATTTCGACTTGCTTTCATTTTTCGCGAACGAAAAATGCGCAATTATTTTCGTACTGTTTCTAGGACCTGCTTAATTTTCGCTCTGCTATCTTCATTTGGTAAGACTCTTTCAATGAAATCTGAAAAATTCCAAAAATTCATATTCCAGCCATCGATTGTGCAATTTTCCAAAAAGCGAAAGCGATACGGGTGAGAGTGTTGAGAGGTAATTACCATTTTGGCGCCGAATGTTTTTATAGAGTTTTGTTTACATTTTTTTGAAAATTCCAGCGAGTGAAATTGAGAAAACGAGATTGGCCGATGGGACGAAATTTGAGAAATTTGTTGAGAAAGGAGATTTGCCACCCCTTCCACTTGACGAGGTATCAGGAGCATTTAATATGCAAATATCGTGAATTATGTAAATTAATTATTCCAAAGTAAAACAAAATATTGAAACGGGGAAAAAACTTTTGTACAGAATTTCTAAAAATGCATCCAATTTCACTTTACTGATCCTTAACTGGCAATTTCGTTTCCTGTCAGAGATATAGAAAAGTTGACAACGGATAAAATGTTTACCATAATATCAACAGTGTTTTGTCAGTTGACACATTTTTGATAACTTGTATAGGAATTCAGATGATTGAGCTCAAACTTGACAGTGTGGATCCCCTTCTATTACATACGGTAGAAACATTTTGAAAGAAGAGATGCAAGTATAGAAAGCTGTTTTAAGCGCCTCAAAGTAATAAAAATAGCGAATTAACAAACTGGGAGCAGTGAATGATTATTTGGGAGATATTTTGAGAAATCTAACGTTCTTCAAGGTATTTAAGAAGTTAGTGGTTCTACGAGGCATCACAAACTTTTACGAGGCATCACAAACCTCCCAAAACAGTAAACGATTAAACAGTAAAAGATTCAATTCAAGCGGAGTTATGTATTTCAAGCGGAGTTATATATCTTTCAAAGTGATCCCGCTCAACTAAGATGTTTGGATACAATATTTCTTCGTTGATATTAGTAGTGAATTCAATTCCTCCGTTTTGCGTGTTTTATGAAACGGAAATTTCAGTAAAACATCGATGTCAATTTTCGTTGTAGTGAAAAAAGAAAAAACTAATTACGATTACAAAAATAACAGTTTTGTAAAATTCATAAAAACCCAATTTAATTAAAGAGTACATTAACTTCGACGTTTTCCAGGAAGAAGAACTTGAGGATCTGAACGACCCGAGAATCGGTCATTTTGACAAAGATGGCAAAATTCCTATTCCAGTTGATTCGAATGGAAATATTTTGAAAGGTTTGGTTAGGCCTACAGTATCAAATAACGGAAACATTCAGGATACGAATACCTCATGAATCCGATTACTATTGATGTGGATTTTGATGAGAAGGATTCGAAAAGTCAGCCAGGTAAATTCATGGATTTCATTTTGAAATTTTTTATTTGTTCATTTCCAGGAGAATCGTACGATCTTCCAAGTGGGTCAGAGACCAGTGGGCAAAAACAAAAAGACTACAAACCATATACTGAGCTGGAACCAAAACCCGAATTTATGGAGGAAGGTGAAAACACTGGAGACGAGTATGATGATGTGGCCAGTGAGCCAGCAGGTATACTTCAAAACAAATAATCTTTAATTTAAATTAAAATTTTCAGAATCACTTCCAGTTGTTCCTGATTTACCAAAATTGGATTATTCGGATTCTGGAGAGCAGGATGAAGATTTGAAAGTATCGAAAACTGGAGAAGAAGAGGATACTGATAGGTCAGACGACGAAGCACCAAGCAAACCAGTAGGTGAGTTAATGGGTTTCTAAAAATTTATGTTTCATATGGAGGGTTAATGTACTAAAGCCAGGAAACAGTTGGTGAGAAATCTGTGTCACAAATGCTCTAAAGAACTTTAATAGTCTTGTTTTATTCATAAAAAACTTTATTGGAAAATCATTTCAAAAAGGAAATGGAGAAATCGAAAAGTGCAGTCTATCATTTTCTTTTTTGAAAACGATTTTCCTATTTCCGGAGTTAGGGAACAACCTATTCTCAAATTCAGAATAATAAGAAAAGCTCATTTTCGGGCATACAACTTTTATTTTCTAGCATTATCAAATTATGCCATTTACCGTAAAATTCTAATAGAATGATCCCGTTTACTTTCAACTTTGAGTCAATTATTCTCGATTCTTGTGAAAGATATCAACAAGTGCTCAACTGACAAATTATTTTTGACACTCTTTTAAACATTTTGTCAGTTTACCACTTTTTGATATATTTTACAGGAAATGAAATATATGGATTCAAAGTTGATTTATCACAAATCATAGTTTTTGAGTTTAGCATTTACAAAATTTGGGTCCAAAATTAGAACATGATAAAAAAGCGAGACTATTATGAATACCAATTTTCCGTTTTATTTCGAATTGATGAAACAGTATTTAGTTTTTAAAATCTTTTGTTTTGAAATCATTAAAAAACGTTTTCATTGCGTTTCGCTTTTAAAAAATCATAGAAATTTACAGAAAATTACTCTAAAAAATGCAAATTTCTTGACAAAGACAAAGTTAAATAGTGCTGTAAACTCTTTCAGATCCTATATTTTTATGCTGTAAAAGTTTTCAGTGTATTCACCCGTTTATTGATAAGTTCTCCAGAATATTCTGGAATTTCAGAAGTTAAAAAAATAACAAAAGAACAAATAGGTACAGATAATAATAATTAGTGGTGGGGTTATTAATTAGTTGAATGGGAAGTACTTTTTAATAATCGCATCGATTTTCAAATCTTTGGATGGTGAGGAATCCTTTGAATTCAATTCTTCCGTACAAATTCGGCAATCATCCATTTTGCATATAACATCGGTATCCAGAGTTTTGAAAGTGGAAATCCACATTTCATTGAGTTTCTCCAATCCCGAAATGTGATCATTCTTACTCTTCAAAACTGATTTCAACTCATTCAGAAGCATTTGATTTTCTTTCTTCAATTGATTCGTCTCAGCTTCCCATTGAATTTTCTCTCTTTGGCGGATCAAATCAGCTGATTTCTTTTGAATTGATACCCTATATAATTCCTCTTGAGTGTCCAAAAGTTCTTCTTTTGCACTACGCATCACATCCAACATCTGATCCAACATCTCATCTGAAATCGTTCCTTCTCTTGATTCAACTTTCTTTTCTCTCAATTTTTTCTCAATTTCCTCTTTCTCCAATCGGATCTGAGCAATCTCTTTGTCCTTTTTATCGATAGTGCCATACAGACGATCAATTGTTCCTTGATAGACTTTTCGCCACGAATTTTCCAGTTCGGAAGTTCTCTTCTCAAATGGGAAGATTGCTCTTTCAGGAGTCTTTTTCGGGAGTTTTTTGATTAAATCACGTCCAATCCTCTCGACTTCTTCCATTTGAGCATCGAGTTGATCCAAAAGTTCGCCCAGTGTGGTCCCTGATTGGAGGCAGAGATTGTTGAGTTGTTCGTCGAGTGATGTGTTCATTGTTTTCAGAGAGATGGGATCTGCAAAATTACAAATTTTAGATCCAAAATTGATTCAGAAATCTGGCATAATAATGAAGAAATTTGAATGCCTTGAAATGAGTAACAAGAAACAGGAACTTTTCAAGAATAAACTATTTCGAGAACTTCGAAAAACGGCGGGTTGGCGCCAATTTCGAGTAAATCGGGAGATCAAAAAGTAAAAGAAAATACAGACTGGAGAAATTTAAACTAGAGAAGTGTCGTCTAAACAAGTTTCAAAAGGATAGTCAACAAAACATAATACGGACATCGCACAAAAATGAAATCAGAGACAAATCAAAGTGATTGAATTGATGTCATTTGAATGACATCACTTGGAAAATCTATGAAGAAAAATTCGCGGGCTGGCGCCTAGATATTTTCAGTTTTTTGATCTACTCGAAAATATTGTGTCACTTGTAGGTCTGGAAATAGGAGTTTGGAAATCACTACAGTGAACGAATTGGATAATTTTGAAGTTGATCAAAATTCTCAATTATTTGAAGCAGAAAAAAATCTATAATTTCGACTTCTTGAAAAATGTAGCATAAAGCAGAAAAAACATACGAAACTTGAAATTTTTATCTAAATTCCCCTCTAAACATAAAATTTTCAGATTATCATTTGAAAATCGTATCATATGGGAAAGCTCCCGTCTCTTTGAACTATTGAATTTTGAAATATACCTTTTAAAAAGTTACTAGAAACGGAAAAATTTTACATTTGAGTCACCTATCGAAAATCCTCTCAAATGCATCTGGACCCTATTTATCTCGGTTACTGTAAAAGCTTTCAAAAAAGTTCAACCAACACGAAAACCAAAATAATTTAGGTCAAAGTTGAAAGTCTCTCTGAATGATTTTTTCAGATGTGATCTACCCGAACCAAAATGTTGAGATTCCAATCTCCCAAGATGACATTAATGAAAAGAGTAAGACAATGGATGAGATTCAGGAAGAGGAGGAGATCAGAGGAGACAAAGAAAGTGGTGGAAGACACGTGAATATTCCAATCAATCGAGAGGAATCAGAAGATGATGAAGCAGCTGGAATGGAAGGTTTCGATGCTGATGAGAATGTTATGGTCGGTTTTTGTTCTTGGAAAAAACTATCAAAATTTTTTCAGGAGAAGGAGTCTGAGAGAGATCCAGATGAGATGACCTTAGAAGAACTGGAAGATCTAGCCAAATCCTTTGGCAAAGAAGTTTTTGGCAATGTGATGGACAAAGCATCTGAGTTGGCAGGTAAACATAACCAACTTTTTGAAAATCACAAAAAAATATTTAGGATCAGATGACGTGCAATCAGAATCAGATGACAGCTCATTGGACCCTAACTCGATCGCAGCTCAATCTGAAATTCCATCAGACTCCGATGGAGTGAAAACAGTGGAATCAGAAGATTTGGATGGAGTCGTGTTGCCTGATCAAGATGATTTATCAGATGATGAGATTGCTAGAATTGCAGCGGAAAGTGTGAAACCAGCGGAGCCAGTTGGTAAGAGTCTTTTGGGGTGAAATATTAAAATAATGAATATACTTTTTTTACTGGAAAAACTGTGTTATGTCTTTCTCGAATTGGGAAAGCTTTGAAGATAATTTGGTCAACCCCATATACGAAAAAGTACTAAAGCAAAGCAATTCTTCATTTCAGCCATCTATGAAACACAAAATATAAGGTTTCAAAAACATGAAAAATTAGTAATTTTTGTGATACTAATTCAATTCTCCTTCAATTGCCCTTCTTGAATTGAGAAGGTTTTGAAGATGTGTATAATTGCAAGTGAAGACCAAGTGAAGACCAACAATCGAGCAAAGGAATTCATTATTAAAGCCAACTTTAAAACATAAATTTAATGTTTCAAGAAACTGTAAAAATTAAATAATTGTTATGATACTAATGCAGTTGGCGTACGACCAGTTAAATGAAAATACATTGAAATACATCTGATTTATCCAGTTTAGAATGACCAGGCGAAATTTTTCAAAAAAACGTTGGAAACTTTAAAAAATTGATTTCAATTTTTTTCAATAAGAAAAAGCATCCTGAAACATTCCTAGTCACCTATTTTACAGAACTTTTTCGTTTTCGTCATTAAAAATAGCAATAACGAATTTCATAAAAAATTATGTTGAATATTTAGATTCTGAAGCAGTGAAATTTGGGAAGATTCTCTGCATTTTGTCTGGACTTTCTAGCAAAAGTGACTGTCCTCGGAATGTTTGGTGTTTTTAGAATTACCAGGCGATAGTTGAGAATCATGAAATTCAAATTTGACCAAATACTTAAATTCTGAAACGGTGACATTTCGGAAGACGATCTAAGTGATCGAGGAATTAGTCAGAGAAATAAAAACCATTACCGTTACACTGAATTCATAAATTATGTAACACAATTTATCTGATAGTGCTACGTTTGTTTGCGACACCGAGTCTTTTATGATCATGAACACCAGGGACCTAACCTCCAATAGCGCGGCACCCTCAAGAAGTCATTTTATCACTAGTTTTCTCGGTTCTCGTTAGGACACATTTTTACACGCCGAGCTACAGTACCGGGCCAAAATATGTCATATTTTGACCCTTTCTGTTGAAAGTATTCAACCGTAGAAAAAAAAGCTAAAGTTAGCGCTGAAATGAGAGTAGTGCCACTTGAAAATATCTTCACTCTCTTTGTTGAATTTTTACAAAAAATTGTTCAATTTCAAAAATGAAGCTCCAAGTTTGTTTAGCGCACTTTGAATTTTCTAGACAAAACGAAAAATTCTGGAAAACTTTTCCAGGATACCAAATTCGACAAAATCCATGCTTTTTTTTGTATATTTTCAGCCCCAGCCCGTCCACCAGTCCGTGGTGGTCGAATCGGAAGTGGAGTTCAACCGGATTCAGCTACTCAACACAACATTTTTATTCAGTTTTTCCTTCTCTCTATCGCTTTTCTCATGTTCTAAATTCTCGAAATTCACATGTTACAAACGATTTTCCACGTTTTCCCACATTTTTCATCTTATAACCGATTTTTCGAAATTCAATAAATATATTTTGGTTTTCTAATATCTCGAAGTGGGTTTTCAGAAATGTTCCGTTGATTTTAGTGAGTTTCAGAATGAGAAAAAGTGTTCGGATTATCGTTTGGTTCACAACTTTTTGGACAGTAATCCATGGAAATTCGAATGAGCAGAAGAAGACATTGGATAACACAGGTAAGGGATTTTTAAAATCAGCGGTGCATTGATTTAATTATCGGGGTTTCTTATTATGAAAGAAATATGAAAAAATTAATAAAACAAAAAGAATATTGTGTAGGCACTATATCAAAGGAATCTAAAAATTTGTATTTTGTAACAGTAATGAAACAGAAAAACATCTAAAATATTCAAAGTTTCAGCTCCACAACCCACCAATCTATCCCTCTTCGTCGATGACATATCCATACTGACCGATTTGACAGGAGGAATAAAAAGGCAGTCGAGACTCATTGAGAATTTCGTCAAAGAAACATCCAGGTACTTTCAAGCAACATCCAAACAATTCGACACTTTTTACAAAACAAAGCCAGATATAATCCTAAAATATGTAATAGATTTTTATGAGGATACAAGAACTCTAGTGTTGAAATCCGATTTTCAAAAAATGCTAAGCCCAGTAAAGATTCTAAAGTCGTTGGCAATAGATTCAGAGAATCTAGGAAGATCGATAGAGAAGAAAACAGTTCAAGAATACATTTCCAAGTTTGAAACTCTGAAAAAGCACCCTCCAAAACTGGAATTTCTTTGGCTGGAACTAATTCCTCAACTCGATAAATGTCTCAAACCTCAAGGAAATATCACTGAAATCGGATTGTGTTTTGTTCGTTTAGACGTGTTGGAAATGACTACAGTTACAGTAACCCAACAGTTTGATAAAATAAAAGAAGTAAGAAGGCGGTGGAATCCAGTTCGCAAACTGATTCAAATCTATGCCAGCACTTTTGAAGATTTGGAAATCGTCGTGAAGTCGGCTTTTGAGTTCTCAAATAACTCGAAGACTTTCTCAGGATTAGCTGAGTCTTTAGAATTGGCAAATGAGGAATTTGAGGAATGTGAAACTAAAATATCGGAGAAAAAGAGCAAAATTGCATATCGGATGGGTACTGTACTCGTTGGATCTGAAGTCAAAGTGGAAGGAAGAACCAAAGCATTTTTGATGAGATTCCCCGAAATTTTTGTTTCAGAATTCCTAAAAAATCTCGCAGGAGAGAAGCATCTAGAAATGCTGAAATACGGATTTCAGCCCTACTTGAAAATGTCTGAAACTGTACAGAAAGTTGAGGAAATTTTAGAAGGAAACAAATGGAATAAAGTTGGAGCTGATAAGATAAGATATGCAATCAGAGACATTGAGAAATGGACGGGACCATTTATAATTCCTGAATCTCTATTGGATACAGTTGACAAATGTCTGAAGAGGTTGCCAACTGTAAAACCAGAATTCAATTTTGAATTATTCCAAAGTGCGCTCAATCAAACTAAGACAATGATCTATGAAATGCGAAAATTCGTAATTCTTGTTGATGAAATAGTTTCAAAACAAAATGAGATTATGCTGGCATTACGAACTTTGAAAGAGACATTCGATGGATGGGAAATCAGAGATAATGTTAGAACATTCAAGTCCTATATGGAAAACATATGGAACGAGAATGGAACTGAACCAATTAAAAATATCAGTTCCTATGCTAAACTCATAGAATCCGCGAGGAACTTCTCGAAAACCAATAATATAGCAGAAATGATTTCCCAACATCCGGATATCAATATATTCATGGAAATTCTAGAACAATTTGACATCAAACGAGTTCTAGATGTCTCTGAATGTCTTTCTGAAAGGAATTTTCATCTAGGGCACGTGGATAAAATTCTGGAAGGTGCTGAAAATATGAAGATCTTCCGGTATAATGTGAACGATGAGGATATAAAACTCACCAAAGCATATATGGCTGAAATATCTGAAATTCTCAGAATTCTGGAAGAAACTGATAGTGTGATAAGAAAGAAGACGTTAAGTGAGGAAACCAGGAAATTAAATAGTTTCGATCGTTCCGAAAAAGTTAATACAAATCTTGGAGAGGCTAGAGATGCCATGAAACGAATTTCAATGGTTAAAAACAAAGAAAACGAGATTCAAAAAGCTATCGATTCAGAATTACCTAACTGTATGTAATACCAACAAATTCGGAACAGTTTGATTTTTTTTTGTACAGTGGGTTGCTCGAAGATCTCAGAGAATGTGTGTTAACTTTTGTGCAGCTTATTTTTGTTTATTTTTTTGTTTTTTAAAAACTTATTTTTGAAAACAGTAAAGAATTTTGCAAGTAGTTACTGCTTTCTGAAAAAAAAAACTGTAGGTCCTTGCTTTTATTTCGAAACAGTAAAATTTTTCAGGAATCCCGGATCTGCTTCCAACGATGTCTTACCGTATTCGAATCGATAATCGACTGATCGATAGTTTTTGTTATGGACCATTTACAGAGAAGTACAGAGGAAATGTGAGTTTCTGAGTAAATGCCTTGGAAAATTTTTTAACCAAAAATTACTGTTTTTTCATACTTGCAAAATCAGGGCCCGAGCCGAAGATTTCCAGGATCCGGCCCGGCCCGACCCGGTCCGGCGGGCCCGGGTTCTCCAAATTTGAAATTTTTTTTGAAATTTCAGACATTTTTTCAAAATTTTGTGTGAAAAAATCATTTATCCGACACTCATATTTTGAAAAATGTTTTACTTGACAGAAAAATTGTCCATTTTTTTTCTATTGACCCCAAAATTATTTTCTGAAAACCCGGGCCGGGCCGGCCCGGGCCCTGAAAATTCTGAAAAAAGGCCGGCCCGGCCCGTTGCAAGAATGGTTTTTTTTAATGTTACTGTGTGACTTAGATTCTTTGTATTTTGCTCTCAGAACCTGTGATAAAAGAGCCCTCACATAATCAAGAGTATTATTTCTTAATGAATAATTTTTGGAAAATTTTAAGTTTCATAAATTACTGTTTCGCAATGTGATTTTCATTGAGATTTTCTATTCAAGTGTAATTGTCCCTCTATGCTATTGAGAACTAACAAGTCAAATTTCAGGTAACCGATCAAATGTCAGGAGTAACGCATTTCATAGTACCAACTGATACAAACGGACTATTTGAATCTGATGATTTTGGATACGTGATGTGTGTATTTCTGCCGACTTTACTAATGAAACAACAATGGATGAATGAGTGTCTTGAGAAGACATCCAACTTTCGAAACGATTACAAATTCCGAATCGAAAAAATCAAGTACGGTGGAGTGGTGTATGAAGCAGTTCTCAAATGGGCCACATGGATTCACAAACAGAATATTCCATTTCTCTATGGAGTACATATCCACGTGGCGATTCCAGGAATGTCCAAGAATGAGATGATTCAGTTGAGACAGTTGGTTGAAATGCATGGAGCCACATGGTCCGATGAGATGTTGGTGAAGGAGAACTTCAATTTAGGATCACACCCATTTCATCATTTTAATCTAGGTCCACTTTTCATTATTCACGATGGAAAGGTTAGTTTTTTCAATGTTTCAATTCATTGTTATTAGGATACTATCAAACCAAAAGGATATTACGCAACATAAATTCGAGAGAAACAAACAAACATAAGAACTTTTGCTTGATACCTACTGTATTTTTTGCAATACAGCACGTTTACTGCATTTACAGTATCAACCAAAATTGTATTACTTTCACCTATTTTAGTTGAAAATAGTCAACTTTAAAAGAAGATTATTAATTCCAGAAGAACTTCCTCAAACAGTTCCAAAGTGACACCGACAAAATGTTCACATTGATGACGTTCCCAGAATTCGTTGGATTCATGCTGAAACTGGAGTGTCATTATGATAACGAGAGGAAAATGCCGATTCCAGTAACTTTTAATCTGGAAAATAGTGAATTATAAAACTTGATAAAGTTATTTATGCTTCATTAATACTTTTTCAACAACAACCTCCTGATTTTAACTAGTTGGTATGATAGTGAAAGTTTCGAACAACAAAACATCAGAAATTAGTTGTCTGATTCTTATGGTGTCACCTTATCCAAGTAACGATTTTTGTATTTGTTGACCACTCATTCGAAGCATCGAACGAGTAATACAGAATCTGAAATTCTAAATTTTTTGAAACCGGAGATTTTCAAAATGTTTCTTTTATTCCTTTCCTTGGTGGAGGGATATGAAAAAAAATGTTTTCGAAATTCCGTTTAAATATGCCGGAGTTGAACTTGTCGAGACAAGTATTGAAGGTGCGGCGCCGCTACCGACTGAGCCACGCGGGCAAAGAGGCAGCCGGCGCCAAAATGCATACATAAAGGCGAGGACGACCGCTGTACGCAGAGTGACATTAAGCGTTGTACACCGTCACGGTAGAATGCATACCCTAGCTACAAAAATCCTACGAAAAATCTCATGTGCCCCCACCTTTAATTGTTCACCCCTCAACTTCGAAAGTCAATTTTTTCCACAAGAACCTCATGATTTTTACAAGTTGGTGCAACTGTGAAAATTGTAGACAGCAATGGAGACAAAATTAGTTGTATTTTTTATGTTGTTACCTTATCCTAACTGGTTTTAAATCTTCATGAAAATGTCTCTCTCATTTTCGGATTGATCATTCGTTTTACAAAAAGGGAGCATATGCAAAATCGCTTACGCTAATCATAATTTATGGCTTCGAATGTTTCTTAAACTTTTTAAGAGAGCTCATCAAACATTAGTCTTCCAATGAAAGTAGTTTACAGGTTGTATGGCTTGTCAGTTTCTATAGTTTCTATTGTTTTTCCGAACAAATAAGAGAGAAGCATCAAACAAAAAACTTAATCTGAATTTGTAAATTTTCTGAAACTGAAAATTCGTCTTCTTTGATTCATTTGCTTAGTTTTAATCGTTCACCCCTCGACTTTGAACACCTGTTTTATGGTTCTCCCTTGAGCGAACTGTCGTAAAAATATATCATCTTGTGAGGTGATTCCTGTCTTTTTCTGAAAAAAAGCTATGTGTATTTTTGAAGCTTGGAAATCTTGCTGTTCGGTGAGTCAAACAGTCTTTTATTAGATCTACTAAAAAAGACATAAGAATACAAATAAAATTGAAAAAAATAAAATTGAAAAAAGTATACAAAGCATTTGGAAATATCAATTTCTCGAAACTTTATTAGTTGTAAATCAAATGTTCCAACTGATGAACTAAAATGAATCTTATTTGGTGTGAAAATTTTATTGGTTTTTGAAAAGGAACATTTTGTTGCTGAAAAAAGGTTCCCTAAAAATTGCAAATCCTCCAAAACGAGACTAACATCATAAACGACAAAAAAACTTTTGAAATCTGACAATTCAAACAAATCGTTGAGGAAAACAATGCAATGAATTGACTAAATTTTCAATATATTCAGAAGTTCGTTTTGTTTTTTTCTATATATTCAGAAGCTCGTTTTGGTTTCCTAAAACTTTTTGCCAAACACGATGTCGAAAATGTTCATTGAAAAAATTACAGGTTTTTCAGTTTTGAAGTGAATTCGAAAACTTTCAAAAGCATTTTAGAAATTTCGGTTGGATGTAAACTAAAATTTTTCTTTCGAAAATAAGGGAAAACTATGACCAATTAGATAGAAGTGATAGAACAGTCCCCTACGAACTAAGTTCAAAACTAAAAGTTGCCGTTTCAGTAGTACGATATACAGTATCTTTCAGAATGCTATTTATTCTTTCTGCTTGCGAAATAGTCAACTTTGAATTCTAAAAAATATAGTATGAATGAAACTAAAAAATTACAGATCTACTAAACAAAAATAGGGCTTCAGTTTTTTAGTTGAAAACATTTTTGGTACGAAATCATTTAAACGAGATATTAAAACCAAACAAGTGTCAAAACGTAGTGAATGAATACGGAGTTCACTGCCGTGGCACTTTTAAGCGGTACATTTTTTATCAGGATGAATCTGTAAAAAAGTTGTCAACTACAAAATTGATGTTCTATTTTTGTTCAGCAGAGATGAGCGGAATTTCTTATTCCTTATTCCTTCTTCCTTATTCCGGGTGTTTTTTCTATTCCTTATTTCTTATTCCTTCTTTCGGATTTTTAAATTTTCATTCCTTCTTCCTTATTCCTGATTTTTTATCATTTTTCCAGAAATTTTGAAAAAATTATTTGGACAATTTTTAGGTTTGAATTATTTCAATTTTCAACATTATTTAAACCTAAAGTACTGCTTAAAATGTCATTTAATGTTGCCTGTAATTCCTTTCTACATGTTTTTTTTCAAACAAATTGTCAAAAATAATTAGATGTTTCCAAACTTTTGTTCCTTATTCCTTCTTCCGGATTTCCTAAATTTTGTTCCTCATTCCTTCTTCCGCGTTCCGGATTTTTTACATTCATTCCTTATGCCTTATTCTCTCTTCCGCATTTTCAAAATTTTTATTCCGCTCATCTCTGTTGTTCAGTAGAACCGTAAATTTTCGGGGTTTTCAAATATGCTTTTTTCTGATAAAACACATTATGAAAGCCGAAAAAATAGAAAAAAAAGTTTTGAAAAAATTAAATGTTGAATTTTTTCTAATTTCAGAATGTGTTCTATCAGAAAAAGCATATTTGAAAACTCTAAAATCGGTTTTGTAGTCTGAAATTCATTCTTTCTCCCGTATTACCACACTTTCGAAATTTCCACTTTCTAAATGTCCGCTTGCGAAATGTCCCGGAGCCAAATTTTCAATTTCATTCAACAAAATCTACCATATTTCGTAGACATCAAAAGGCTGCTGTCTTTCACAAGGCCGGTACTGTATGTACCACTTGTAGAACTTCCTGTTTTCTAATACTATTTTTTTGTTATTCCAGACATGATTTCAGGACAGTTCCTGTATCTAAATCCCTCTAGGATTCATTGTCTGCCTAATATCGACCAAAAAACACTTCCTGTCCCCGAGTTTCTAGAGAGAACTTCAAAAACATAAACTCCAAAAATTAGTAAAACGAATTGTGGTAGTATGCATGTGTTTGTTAGTGTGATTCAATTAATTTTGGTCCATCTCTCTCGCCTCGTGTCCTTTTTCCACTCTGAATGTTGCCTAAATTTTCCCCATTCTTCTTTCTAAACAAGTTTTTGATGTCCTTCTCCTCTTTCCTTCAATATCCGGATTTTTTTCTGGAGGAAACGAGGGTGTTGACCGGGCCGAAAATAGTTGAAGCGAAACGAATGAAATTTGATTTTCTGAATCTTCTCGAGCATTTCGACACCAGTGGGCCATGGTGTCTGTGTATGTCCTTTGCACTTTTTGTTGCTTTTGACTCAATTCCAGTTTTTCTTTATTTCTTTTTTCTGTTTCATATAACTTTGAAATTCGTTCGGTCACAGATTGATATTTGTAAAAAAACGAATTGGTCAACATTTTTGTAGTTGAAACATAAATTACCGTATCTACTAGAACAAATCTCAAAATTCCGGAAACTTGTCTTTACCGGAAAAATAGGTCTCATATAAAATTTCAGAATCTGTCGTGACTCATATCAATTATTCTGGCACATGAGTTCCCACATGAATGACCCCATAACAACCAAAACACAATGAATTTTTCAGGAAAGCAGCACAGAAAATTCTCGGTCATCAGAACCGTTAAGAAAACCAAATTCAATATGACGAGAGAAAACATTACGTAAAAATCAACTTCAAACATTCATAAACTTATGAAAACTGGAAAATACAGTTGATTTTTTAAAAAGTGGGGAGATTTTCGGAGTTTTTTTGTCGCAGTTACAGTACGCATTGGGACGTGACGGTGTACGTTGATGGATGTCTAAACAGCGTATGACAATAACTTCCGCTACCGTAGCTCAGCTGGTAGGCAGTGTTGTGTTCAAAAGTTCAATTTCTCCAGTGGCTTATTTGAACCAAATTTTGATAAATGTATTTTTATGATCCCCGCCCCCTTCTTGAAATAATAAGAAATCAAATCATACAAGCATTGAACTTCGAAAAAAAATCGAAAATCTGATGATTTCTTGAAACAGTAAATACTAGATACTCCTTTTTTAATTAAAAAAATGCATAAATTTCAATAATATGAGCGTCCTCCTGAAGATAATTTAGAGATTCTACTACTCTGAAGCTCTTGGAATTGTGATGTTCCAAAGAGTACGAAACTTCTTTGAACACTAATTGTACAAAAATAAGAACTTCGTTCAACATGCTTAAATATTATATGGCTTTAAAGCTGATTCGTATTTTCGACTAGCTAAAAATAAAGCAACATAACTCATAGACCATTTAAAAAAGAAAAAAAGTGTGAGAATTTTTTGCAAACCTTTTTTCCCTGAAAGTTTCAAAAAATTGACTTCAAATCTAGGATTCTTCAACATTTCCAGAAGTTTCCAGTTTTTTTCCATAATGTTAGCAATCAAAAAAACTCCCAATATTTTTTTAACTCAATTTTCAATTCATTTTTTACGGAATTTTTATTAGTGCTGCTAGAAGAGTTCATTTTTTACACTATCACAATGATTATCGGAATAAACAAGATAAGTAATTAATAGGTGAAACCGAAAAAAATTTTAAAAATCAATCTCAAAATTAAGATTATTTCCAGAAATTGTCTTCTATTTTGCTTATTCTTAATTTTTCCATCTCTTCCTCATGGAATAATGAAAGAAAGAGAAAAAAAAACTTAAAACAATCTCATGAATATTCAAATACCGACTTTATTTTTTATTTTTTATCTTCCTATGTCTTTTAAATTTTTTATTTCCACTTAATTTTTGTTTCAATTTTTCTATACAAATGAATTTTTTGTGATTCTAGAGGAAATAAACTTAGATCAACACTAGCACAGTCCTGTTAAGTGAGATGAAAATTAAATTTAAAAAAGACTAATAGATGAAACAGGAAAAATTGTTTAAAAGTTTGAAAT